CCTATCAGGTCTCATCAGTATGGCTAGGAAAAGCAAAGAAAACCAATCCAAGTTTTGTGCCGGTAGGCAAAATCCAAGTCGTACTACTTCTATTCTGCCTACAGGCACAAAACTTGGATTGGTTTTCTTTGCTTTTCCTAGCCATACTGATGAAACCTGATAGGTCGAAATGCGTCTATGGATGGAAAAGCGAAGAAAATTAATCCAAAATTTTCTCGGTATATAATATACAGGGTGTCCGAATTTGGATGGTTTTAATGGGAAAGGTCAATTTCTGAGCGAGATACAAAAAAATTAACCCCCCACTCCGAGGCTCGAATTTCTTGAAATTTTGATTGGTGCAAACCGCATTTTGACATCTTCAACCGTTAGCCGCTAGAGGGCGATTCTCGATTTTGAGTAATACTGTGAAATCTTCATAACTTTTTCGTTTATAAAAATAACTGATTTCCGTAAAATTTCCTAGAAGCACTTTTTCAAGCATAATTCAGTGACGTTTTCGTTTTTTTTTTCTATTTGACCTCGACTTCAAGATATTGACCAAAATCCGATTTTTTTCAATGGGACACCCTATATATTAATAGCTCTCTAAAAAGTTCTGCTTTTGCTGATTTGAATAATATAAATTTTGATAGGATTATCTCTAACAGTTTTCGAAAAAAAAAAATATTTCGTTTTTTTCCATAAGAAACAATGTGTTAAAATAGTTATTTTTGTATCAAGGGCGCGAAATGCTACTTTGGTGATCGAGATTTTTATCGAGGCGCAGCCGAGTTAAAAAAATAGTTGAGATCACCAAAGTATTTCGCGCCCGAGTTGCAATTAATATTTTTTCTACAACTCCATTTAAATATCAATCATTCGAAGCCAAAATTGCATTTTCAATCAAAGGTAGGTGAATTTTAATTATTTTTGATTTCCTGACAGGTATGTGTCACCATGACACCCAGTGTGCGAAGTGTGCGCGAAATAGCTAGTTCGCGCACGGCGTCATGGGAACGTTAAAAAATCAATACCTGGGAAAAAAAGTGTCACTTCGCAAACTGTCATGAGTGTGCGAACATCATCATTTTTTGACAGTTGTAGAAAAAGGTCTTTATATTTGTAAGGAAAATGAGAAAGGTCTCTTTCTAACTCATTGTTTCTTATGACAAAAACCAAAATAGTTTTTTTTTCTGGAAAATTGTTAGAGATAAACCCATCGAAGTTTGTATCATTGAAATCAGCAAAAGCAGAGCTTTCTAAAGAGCTATTAATATATAGGGTGTCCCATTGAAAAAAATCGGATTTTGTTCAATATTTTGAAACCTAGGCCCAATAGAAAAAACCTGGAAACGTTACTGAGCTCAGCTTAAAAGGAAGTTTTTACGGAAATCAGTTATTTTCATAAACAAAAAGTTATGAAGATTTCACAGTATTGCTCAAAATCGAGAATCGCCCTCTAGCGGCTAAACTGTTGAATATATCAAAATGTGGTTTGCACCAATCAAAATTTCAAGAAATTTGAGCCTCGGAGTAGGGCTTTCATTTTTTGTATCTCGCTCAAAAATTGACGTTTCCTATTAAAACCATTCAAATTCGGACACCCTGTACTATTTGATTATATTTGGCACCATACCTACAGCCTTTACTATTTAAGATAGAAGAAAATTGTAAATACAAAACTTGACAGTTTTTTTCTATATTTTCTCTTAACGTTATCAAAAAAAAACAAAATCGCATCAGAAAATGGAGAAACGTAGACAACTTCGAATTTTTTGAATGGAACACCCTGTATATTTTGCAATAAAATGAAAGACCTTTTCTTCCTGATTACAAATATATATATATGTTGACCACATTTGCGTCAGCCATTTTTGACATATCTTAGCTTAAATTATAACTAAATTCCAAAAAAAATTTATAAAGATAGAGCCTTATGGAACTTCTCTGCAAATTCTTTATAATTTAACCTGAGATATGTCAAAAATTGCTCAAGCAAATGTTATCAATACATATATATTTGGAATCAGAAAGAATAGATCTTTCATTTTATCGCATAATATACAGGGTGTTCCATTAAAAAAGTCGATGTTGCTTACGTTTCTCCATTTTCCGATGCGATTTTATTTTTTCTGATAACGTTATCAGAAAATATAGAAAAAAACTGTCAAGTTTTGTATTTAAATTTTTTTTCTATTTTAAATAGTAAAGGCTGTAGGTATGGTGCCAAATATAATCAAATACCCTGTACATAGATAAAAATAGAAGGTATTTTCTGGGGTATCAGTCTAAGGGATAAAAGTATGTACATATTCATCTATTGAGAAGGTGAACGAATAATTATTATTATATAGGTACATTTTCCTTCACATGGGCAACCTATGTTGCATTGTACGTTCGCCCTGACACATTTGCAACGTGTAGTATAGTATCTCCAGAGTCAATTGAAACAAGGAAGGTAATAATAAATTGCAACTGGTGGCTGACTAGTGGCTGACTGGTGGCAGTGCATTTCTTATGAAAATATTCAGTCACCTGTTGTGACTCACCTTTACCTTGTTTCAACTGACTTTGGAAACACTATACCTACCTATACAATTAAATAACTTGCACATGCAAAAAGGGGGAAATTTGTAATTCTCATTATCGGCATAGTTCTCTTTTTCTTGATATAGGTACCATCCAGCAGTTTGGAATTTGCGGTTTGACTTGGTATATGCAAACTTGTACTGCAAAAATGCCCTTTTGATGTGCAATAAAAATAAATCTTCTGTAGGCGGCAAATCTCCCAAGACAGTCTACATGGGAGATTTTGGACAATGCTAAGTTTTACAGCTCTTCTTTTGCCTTTTCGAAAGGGGTAGCGGGGTAGCTGACCGAATCACTTTCGTAAGGCGATAAAATGCCAATAAATTGCTGGACAATTTCTTAGGATACTCTTGATAGAGGTCTGCCAGATTCCGAATAAAATTAGATGACTTGGAATGTAGGTACCTTATATTTTGCATCGATATTTCGATGTCTGTGTTCATGTTATCGGAATAAAACATTGCTGTAGTACAAATATCCGTGTCTGTGGAGTAAATAACAAATCTTTTGAATATTTTTATGTAAAAATGTAATCGCAAATATTCGTTTGTCTGCTTCTTCGTGTTCAGTGAATTGCATACAATATTTTCTCTACAACATTGAATGGTTTTTCATTTAAATTCTAAAAAATATATAATGACAAATTGAATGTCAGCAGATTCAAAAAAACTGGGTATTTTCTCACCTATTCAGGTGCATTTCAACTTGCAATCAATCGGCAAAGTTTACTTTGTCGCTTCTCTCCCATGACAGCAATCGACACAGTTTTATGGCGAGTTTATAAAAAAAAATTAACACTTTAACTAATTTAAGAAAATTAACTTACAACTAAAAATTTCAACGTGAGCTTATGTAATTTTTAATTCTTAGTTGATAAGTCCTAATTTTTTTTTTATGAACCGCTACGTTACATGTCATAACGTCAACTATTTAAGTTAAATGTTAATTCTTAGTTTAAGTGTCAATTTTTTTTTATAAACTCGCCATTAGCAATAAAAAAAGTTCAACTTGGCGCTGTCAAAAGAAAACGCAAAATGTCACTTTTTATGCTATAGAAATCGCATATTTTTTCCTAACTAGTGCGCAAAGCAAGTCTTTTTCGCACGCTGGCTGCAGTTAAACTCTGCTGTAGTTGACCGAACGATTCGGAGCGAAGTTCGGCCCGCAGTGGAGTGCGAACAAGACACTTTGGTATGCGCACAGTAAGGAACAGTATTTTTTCTACGAGAAAGAAGGATATTCAAATAAAAAATGAGCCAATTAATAAAAAATGAAAAATCTATTCAAAACAAAATATTAAGAAACAACAAATAGAAACTAATTATTTCATTGACTATTGTTAACGATATTGAGAGATTTTTGGGACGACCTTTGGGGTACCAGGAATATTGCGGGCACTAGCGACTTTATCTGAAATATGTTCTGGTATGTCCTCGTTCTCTTGTGCTTCAATGTTTTCCATTTTATTGCAAGTAGGTATCTATAGGCTTAGACTGACTAAGATATAGTTAAAATATTAACCAAAGAAAAAATAATAAATTAATTTATTTGACAATTAATTCTTCGATTAACTCTTCCCCGCACTAGTGCGTAAAATTAACCCTTGTCTGCACTAGTGCTCACAAGGAAATTTTGCGGCCCCAATTGCGTGTGCAAAGTACCAAAAAAACTAAATCAAGAGTTATTTGATCACGAAAACGGACGTCGCATTATTAATTATTTATTATTGGTCAGAATTTTTGACATGACATTATGACATTAAAGTTCATTGACAAAATTGAAGAAAAATATTGCTAAGACATATTAGTATGTTCAAGAAAGTTGAAGTCCTGATATTGTGTGCAATACGAGCGCAAAAGGCAATTGTCGATTTCGAGTGCGCCTTATTGCGAAACTTTCTCTCTCAATCGACAATTGGCTATTTTGCGCTCCTAATACACAAATGTTATTGCACATCACACACCTAAAATAAATTAAATATGTACCTACATTGTCAATAGGTGCATGTAGGTAACAGAAAAAAAAAATATGACAAGAGTCACCTTTTAATTATCGCAATTTGTTCTGGATACGATAAATATAGTTGAAAAAAATATGTTGTTCAATTTTTGACCTCGACCTAACGGTCTCGGCCAAAAGTTGAGACTCTGAGTTGCCATTAAAAAAACACCCATTTTATATTATTAAGAGCCGGTTTATTCACCTTAGGGTAAACTGTCAGATATACAATCTGGCGGATAAAAACACAATCTGTAATCTCATTGGTTGGCCAGTTATCTGTCGACCAATAGAATTATAGTACGGTAAATTTATCTTGCAGATAGTCACCAACAAGTTTATGCGAAGATGAATAAGCCGGGTCCTACTCCTATTAATATCTTAATTAAGCAGGTGAGTAAGGTAAACAATTTGAAACAAGAAAAATATTGTTCACATGTTTTTTTACCTGAAAAACCTTTCGGTGCGTTATAGCAAAGTGATTATTGAATTAATTACATACATTGTAGGAAGTCGTGCCCCATGTATGTTTGATATCATCTAGGTACTAGGGTAGTAGCATTTGTCCAAACTCTATCTCTTCAGCTACGAGACACGCGGGGCAATGTTACTTTTTGTTTTCAAAGTTTTGTGCTGGTTTGTGTTCCTTGTTGCAGCCTATAATTTAGGACTTATTGTATTTAGATATAGACATGTGAAGTTTGCTTGGAATACAAATGGATATTGGGCACCGTTGCTGCCTTTCATTGGCAACACTTATCTTGCTGTATTAACTGGAAGAAGAGGTTTCAATTTATTGTTTTTTATACACTTATCCTGAATAACTATATTTTAGTTAATATGTTGACAACTCTTTTGTGGGCAGAGAGGTATTTCGGACTTCCATGTAGTTTTTGGTTTTCATATAAATATCATTACATGTGCAATAATGCAGAGGAAGCTAAGATTGTTTTAAATCATCCTAAATGCTTAAATAAGGCTCAATTGTATGGAGATGTGCAGTATCTTTTTCGAAATTCATTGCTATTAATTGACGGTGTGTAATTATTGCTAGGTATTCGTAAATTATTTTTTGTGTTTCAAATTATTAAAAATCTAGCCGAAAAATGGAAGCCACGTAGACGTTATTTACGCAATGGTTTTAAAAGTAATATATTGAAATCATTTTTTCCAACGTTCTATCAGCAAAGTTGCTATCTAGTTGAGGAAATCAAAAACGTGGGCCCAGAACAAGATCTGTATAAATTTTTCAATAAATATGCGTTCATGAATTTTTTTCGTAAGTATTCCGAGGAGAGATTAGTTACAGGTATTGCAATTTTATAATTAATTTCACAGTGACATCTTTTGGCTATCAAGGTGAAGAAGATTTGGATTTGGTGAATATTAAAAAATTTGGAGCGTTAATAGACAGGTAAGATATCATTCTTTGCAAGTAACAGCGAATATAATTTGCCTATGATATTCATGAATATAGCAAATTGTTGAATTAGAGATGAAATAACAGCTTCATGGTAACTGAAAAATGTGATGAATACTTTTGATACAAATTTATTTGCTAAATATTAGTTAGATTATGTCTGTAAATACAACAATTTCAATATAACGGCTCGTGATTTCCCAAAAATGTCATCGCGAAATTTCCAAGTAACAAACTTTCATACCAGTCGAAAATTTTGCCAACAAATTTTTTTCTCTTGTGATATTATATATGAAAATATTTTTTTTAGCTGGACACGGTCGGACACGTCATATTTATTATTCAGGGGGCATGTAATGACAAATACCTGCGTTTCTCTCCCTTCATCCCCCTGCCGTCCAGAGCCGCCCCATGATTTTTTTTTTAAAGGGAAATGGGGTTGAGTGATACCTTGATTGAAAGCTAATTTTATTTTCTACATGACCCTGTTTTTGTTTTCTATTTTTATCGATTCGTTCTTAAGAAATATGCATGAACGAGTCTGAATATTAATTTTATTGAAGAAAATGACAAGTTTACAATTATTTTATTAAATGTTGAAAATGTCCCCCATAGACCTCTATACAGAAATACAATTAGTTTTTAGATGTCCTCATAAAGAAAAAAATCAAAGGCTTAACATCGGGAGATCTAGCAGGCCTGCAACAAACTGTATTACTTGAACAAGATGATAACCTCCTAGAAAATAATTTGATGTTTCAGCAAGGGTACCTCCTCATTACGCTGTTCCCATCCGTCAGTTTTTGAATGACGAATTTCTTGGACGGTGGATTGGCCAGAGAGGTACCGTAGAATGGCCTGCTATATCTCCTGATCTTTTTTCAACATTTGATAAAACAATTGTAAACTTTTTTATTTTGTTTAATAAAATTAATCTTCAGACTCGTTCATCCATATTTCTTAAGAACAAATCGATAAAAATAAAAAACAAAAACAAAGTCATGTAGAGAATAAAATAACTTTTTAATCAAGGTATCACTCAACCCCTCTTCGGCCTCTTCCCTTTTAACAAAAATCATGGGGTGGCTCTGGTGGAAAGGGGGATGAAGGGAGAGAAACGCAGGTACCTATATGTCTTTATTTGTCACTCATTTGTAAAACGACACTTATCAAGTCAAAACATAAACAACGAAAATTGATTTTTACAAGCTACTGGCTCTACTGACTTGTAAAATTGACAGCTAAACTGCAAAAACTATTTACAAGTCAGTAGAATTATTTATTTCTTAAAAATCAGTTTTACCATAGCATAATCTCTATAAGAACAGCATTACCCGTATTCTATACTAGGTTTAGGCATTGAGGAGCAATACTCACAATACCCTCTTTTATTGCGATTCTTATAGATTATCTTATACCATAATCATTAGTTTTTTAATTGGAAGCTGAAATGAAAGGTTGAATGAGGAAATATTACATTAAAAAAATAATGCCAATAGCATAATAAACAAAATATTACCTTCATCTTGTATGTCACCATAAATATACAAATAATTGAAAAGAAAACTTAACCCTCTGTCGCTCACACTCAAAATTCTCCGGCTATTTTTTTTTTTTTAGAATTTTTTTCCAAATCGATCCAATCGACAACATGGTCTGTAAAATAAAGTTGTAGCAAAATTAGAAGTGAAACTTTGTATTTATTTTCAGCATCCAAGACGAATTTGTCAAATTACTAGCAAACCCTTTAATTCCTGCTTTTATATGGATAAGAATACCTCCAGGAGCACAGTTAAGAGCCCACCGTGCAGAAATTGGAAAGGTAATCAAATTGATTATTCAGGACAAAAAGAAGCGAAAGCTTCAGGTATCAGGTGAGAAATTATTTTCTTCTACTACCAACTAGAGAAACAGTCATTATTCAATTTATTTTTCTAGGAAAAAATTGAATTTCTCTCCCTAGGTTTGATAATGAAAATAATGAAAATAAACATAGGTCAATAATAGGCATTTAAAGCATGGCCAGTTATCAATACGTATGGATACTTATCCGTATCGATCTGCGACTGCGCATTGACACATTGACTCCAGATATTTCCAAAACTATTAAAAGAAAAATTAACATATTATATAATATGAATCAGAAAAACGAGAACTTTAAAAATTTGAGAGAAAATAAAGTGCAATCCATTTGAAAAAAGTGAACATTGACATATTTTTCACTTTGTGTTGCTTATTTGTTCAATCTTATTAAAAATTCTGGCGGTTCAGATGAAATGCTATACAATTTTTGTATTCACACCTTTCACCTATCACCTGTAATCACTTATCAAGGGCGGATAGGAGATGATTGACGAGTGTGAAGTTATCGGCCCGAGTAAAGCCAGGGCAGATATCACACGAGTCGGTATTGCTTTCCGACTGTGGTGCACACAGTATTTTTTGAGTAACCCTTTTGGAAACTTTTAATAAATATTATTTATATTAAGTTCAACAAAATTGAAGAGATACGAAGATTGACTGAAAATCAACACCCTGTCAAACTGCCAAAGTCAAATTGACAAGCATTACCACCCAACTAGGCCAGGCTGGGCGGGCGGAAATGTTCTTGTTTGCCCGGCTGCGAAATGCGCATACGCGTGACAGCTGGAATTGTCAACGTTCTGCCTCCTTCACATGCTTCAAAAAGTCGCGTTATTGAGCAGGTTGCGCAACAAAAAAATCTATTTATTCCTCGGTAGAGAAAGTCATTATATACCTTGCGCAATATAAAAGGGCTCGATATATAATGACCCACCTAGGTCTGTAATATCTCAATCAAAGAAATAAATGATAATAATAATCCAATATTTAGCAATTAAAATTAAAATCATAATCCAAGGGTAAAAAAAAATAGGGGAAGACGTACATCTCACAATCCTTTATTTACTGTCAAGCTACTAGCTTTGGGATCTATACATTACATCTCATCAGCTAAAATAATCATAATCCCCTGTGTCAGTTTTGTTTCTCTTGGCTGCATCAGAAGCTCAGGGCCCGTATTCTCGTGACCGGGGAACAACGTTCTCTCAAGAGAACGATTGCTCTGTCTTAGTTGCCCATATTGTTATCTTCCTAATCTACTTACAAAGACAGAGACATCGTTCTCTTGAGAGAACGTTGTTCCCCGGGTACGAGAATACTGGCCCTGGAGGCATCAGTCAACAGCCTGAATAAGTACCTACGGCAAAATGCAGAATGACTTTTTTTTTTTTTTTTTTTTTTTTACGGATATGCGCACTCGCAAGGACAATGTCCTATCACGCTCGAGAAGCGGCAAGTGCGCGGAAATGTCGGTGTATGTTGGTCTTGAAACGGTTCAGGTTGTAACCTGCAGGGAAAACCGTCGCAGGGAGTTTTTTCCACAGCGATGCTGTTCTCCAGAGATATGAATTCTGATATAGTGAGGTTCTTGGTGCCTCTAGTTTGACAGTAAATTCATGGTTACCGTCTGTTTGACGCGTTCGCCTGGTAGGTGCTACTCTCGGTGGAATCATACGTGCCAACTCTTCAGAGCATTTTCCGTGATAGTACCTGTAGAAGAGAGATAAATCGCCCACAGATCTGCGATGTTCGAGACCATCCAAGTTACGAGTAAGTGCGGGGTCATTGATCAGCTTGATAGCTCGTTTTTGCACGGTATTCAAAAGCATTAAGGTATGTTTGGGTGCAGCACTCCATATATGTGAGCAGTACTCCATAGTTGGTCGAATCTGGGCTTTGTAGAGTGTCAGCAATTGGCTTGGTTTGTACAGATGTCTTGTACGAAATAGCACCCCCAGCTTTTGGGAGGCCCTTTTAGCAATATCTGCCACGTGACTGTGCCAAGACATGTTGGTCTCTGCAGTAACCCCCAAGATGTTCAACTGACTCTGTAATGTGACAGCACTTCCAGATAGCATGATGTTTGGCTCACCGGTGTTGGTCTTTTTTGAAAACAGAGCTGCTTGGGTTTTCTGCGCATTGAACTGTACAAGGTTTTTGTTACCCCAGTCCTCTATTATCTCCAGGTCGTTATTTATCTGCGATATTTGAGTTAGTCTAAGATGATGGAATTCACGTGCGGAAAGCCCTGTGGGTGGTATGAGTGAGGAGACTACATTACCATCGTCTGCAAAGCAATAAAGTGGATTTACTGTTTTATCTATGAGGTCATTTATGTAAATCAGGAAAAGAGTTGGCGAAAGGATTGCTCCCTGTGGCACACCAGCATTTATTTGGTAAGAGTTGGAGTTCTGGCCATCCAGTGCAACATAAATGGATCTGTCCTTTAGGTAACTTTCAAACCAAGTGCAAAGTTTCGGCGATAATCCCATTGCTTTGAGCTTGTTGAGAAGATTTTCATGCCAAACTTTGTCGAATGCTTTAGATATATCTAAGGCAATTGTTCTTGTTTCACCCCGCAACTCAATCGCTTTTTGCCATAAGTGAGTGACGTATGTAAGTAAATCGCCAGTTGATCTATATTTTCGAAATCCGTATTGCTTATCGTTGATAATTTTGTACTTTTCCAAGTACTTGGTTAGGTGATTGTTCACAACTCTTTCCATTACTTTTGATATCACCGGAAGTAGAGCAATTGGTCTATAGTTTAACGGATCTGTCTTTTTTCCTTTCTTTGGAATGGGTTGTACTGCGGCAGACTTCCATGATGATGGATATACTCCTTGCCTGTAAGACAAATTGAATAATTTTGCGAAAGTTGGGGTGAGTTCGTTGGCGCAATTTTTGAGTACTATTGCGGGAATGCCATCCGGACCCATTGCTTTGTTTGTATCCAGCTTTTTTAGGGATTTTCGTATTTCTCTGTGACAAAAGGGTACCTCTGGCATACTATGGGAAACCCTTTCAATGAACGGTGGAGTTTTTCCGTTTGGCACTGTTAGGTTGGAGTTGGAGGAAAACATTTGGGCAAGCATATTGGCTTTTTCCTCTGATGTTGTGGCTAAGTGATTATTTTTATCTGTAAGTGGTGGTATGGATGACTTGGTGAAGTTAGATCCAACAGCTTTTGCAAGAGACCAAAAAGACCTAGAACTACTTGGACAATTCAGCAACCTGTTTTTTATTCTTTGATTGTATGTTTCTTTAGCGGAGTCAATAGTAATTTTGCAACTATTTCTGGCTTCTATAAATTCTGTGTGGTTTTGAGCGGTTTGTTGTCGTTTCCAAAGGTTATATGCTCTGTGTTTTTTCTGTACAGCCGTTTGACACTGGCTGTTGAACCAAGGTTTAGCATTAGCTCTACGTTTAGTTGTATGTGGGATATATGCGTCCATTCCAGATAAGATTACTTGTGTTATTTCATTACAGCAAATAGTGGGATCAGCTGTTTTAAAGCAAACCTCTTGCCATGGAAAATCCAGGTAATACTGTTTTAGGTCATTCCATTTTGCCGATTTATAGTGCCACATTTTACGAGGAAGTGGTTGTAGGCTTGGTGGGATGAGCATTTCGCACTTTGTTATTATAAGTTTATGATCGGACGAACCAAGTGGAGCATCTACTTGAATTGTGTACGAGTCAGGATTTGTGGTTAGGAACAAGTCTAAAAGCGCTGCAAATTCGCCCCTTTCTGAGATACGGGTAGGTTCATCGACAAGCTGCGTTAGACCACAACTTATGGCAAAAGCTTCTGCTTCTCTGCCTTCGTTATCTGTTTTGTTGTGGTGTTTCAGCCAGGGTATATTGTGGACGTTGAAATCGCCTAAAAAGACAATTTCCGCCTGTGGATAGTTTGACTGTATACTATCACAGCTTTCGGATAATGTCGCGAAAAAGTTTTGGTACTCGGTGTTAGATGGCGGTCGGTAGAGGCAGCAGATAAACTTGGTCGATGACTTTGAGGTGAATTTTAGCCATATGATATCAAGGTTCGCTGGTTCTAGCTTCTCCTCTCGATGACATGAAAGGTCATTTTTAATGTACACACAGATCCCAAAATTATGTCGAAATCGGTGGTGTAGGTCATAGCCGGGATAAAGATAGTTCACAATAGGTGTTGCAGAACTGATTTTAGTTTCAGTGAGAACAAGGATGTCAGGTCTTTGTTCTTCAAGATGTTGGTGAACTGAATTCATATTTGTACTTATTCCTCTTATATTGCTAAAATCAATTCTGAGTTGAGTTTTTGATCTTCTCTTTATATCTTTACATGAAGGACCCCCAGGATCACCCGACGCCCGGAGATCCGAGTGGTCGGGTATTTTACCTCCGGAATATTTTGATCCTGGAGGCGCCATCATGCTATCTGTTACTCATTGTTGGAACCGGACTGCCAGCGCAGTAGCGGAACGTGGTGATACCACTTAGCGCTACTCAATTCTGGCATGGTGGTATCTCACCGGTCGACGCCCAATGAGTAAAAAGCGTCTACCACCTCCCTAAAGATTTTCGACAAAATCGGTAATTGTGAAACTTTTTTTTTTATGTTTTTTTTGTAAGTAGTGTATCTTTATTATCCATGCGCCCTATTCCTCCCGTGCCAGAGCTTGAAAGAAAAAAAAAATGCTGTGTCCCGCTTGAGGACTGACCACCCTGCTAAAATGTATGCAATTATGGCTTATGATTTTATTTCTGCGGCTGTACTGGTGTACAGGGTGTCCACATTTATAGGCTCAAATTTCAATAATAACTATTAGGGATTTTTTTAGAGAAAATCTGATTGTAAATTCTTGTTTACAATGACCTAAAACCCAAATGTACTGATTTTTGTTTTAATACGATACAGGGTGATCACAACAAATTTTCAAAATTCAATGAACCAAACCGCAAAAATGTCATATTTTGAGACAAGCTTACTACAAGTTTTGGTTAAGGATATTCTAAAACTATG